GTGATAGTTGATGAGGCAGAAGTTGTGCTTGAAGAGATGTTGAATGAAACTGATGGAAAGGAAGATGGTGTTAGGGAAGATGATGTTATCATGGATTGTGTTGGGGAAGTTGATATTAGGGAAGATGGTGTTCATGCAGTAGAAACTGATGATAATGTGTCAATGGTTGATGAGGTTGAAAGTGATGATATTGGACGTAGGTATGGTGAGGTTGATGATGTTGTTAGACTAACTGATGATGATAATAATTATGATGATAGCACCTTCAACTATGATAGTGCAACAAAGGTAGTATTTGATGATGACTCTGATGAGTATGACACTGATTTAGAAGAGGAAGAGGGTAACCTAATTAACTATGTACACATGGAAAGCAAAAAAAGGTAAAGAAAAATGTGAAGCAAACTAAGAAGATAGCAAATGAATTGATAATGAAAGTGATGATCTAGGAAGTGACTGTGATAGGGATGATAGGAGTAGAGTTAGGAGAAAGAAGTATCCAGTTTTCAAGCTTCAAAAGGATATGGCTAATTACAAATGAGAAGTGGGAACCTACTTTAGTACAGAAGAAACTTTCAAGGAAGCCATTACCTCTTATGCAGTCCATTCTGGAAGTAATTTAAAGTTCATTAAAAATGACATGACTAGGATTAGGGTTAGGTGTAAGGAAGGATGTGAAAGGGAATCCTATTGTGCTAAATTGTCTACTGAGGATTCTTGGCAACTAAGAAAGGTAGTAGACACTCATAGTTGCAGTAGAGAATATAATGTCAAGTTAATGAAGACTAAATGGTTGAGCAAGAGGTTGCAGAATTCACTTGAAACCAACCCTAAAATGAAAATTAAGGACATTAAGGAGAAGGTACATAAGAAGTGGAATGTGGGGGTCAACAAAACCAAGGCCATAAGGGCTAGGTTTGCAGCCAGAGACATGATGGATGGGTCGTTCCTAGGGGATTATGCAAGGATATATGACTATACACACGAGTTATTAAGAGTTAACCCAGGGTCAACTGTAAAAGTGAATGTCGAACCTGCACAAGAAGGTGGTGTTCAGAAATTACATTTCAAAAGGATATACATATGCTTGGAAGCTTGTAAGGAAAACTTTAAGTTAAGCAGACATTTCATTGGACTTGATGAATGTTTTTTGAAAGGCCTTTGTGGGGGTCAACTACTTGCAGCCATAGGAAGAGATCCCAATGAAGAAATCCTACCAATAGCATATGCAGTGGTGGAGAGTGAGAACAAGGATAGCTGAACATGGTTCTTAGAGCTGCTTATTGATGATCTTGGTGGAAGAGAAGAGTGCCTCACATACACTTTTATCTCTGATCAACAAAAGGTATGGCTTTGTTTTTAATTTTGTATTGATAGGTATTTCATGTTACAAATTCTCATGTTACATTTTTGATGACTTAGGGATTATTGCCTGCAATGGAGGAAGTGCTTCCTAGAGTTGAACACTGGTTATGTGTTAGACATCTCTACAATAACTTCAGGAAGAGGTATCCACGAAAAAAACTAAAGGAAATAATATGGAAAGCTGCCAAGTCAAGTTACTACCAAGCTTGGGAAAGAGAGATGAAAGTAATGAAAGAGCTCAATGGAGAAGCATACAAACACATGATTAGCACCTCTCCAAGGTTTTGGAGCAAATCATACTTCAAGACTGATAACAAGTGTGATGTTGTTCTCAATAATATGTCAGAAACATTTAACAGTGTTATCCTGGAGTCTAGGGCCAAGCCTTTGATAACCATGGTAGAAGAAATTAAGGTATACATGATAGAAATATGAGCTACAAACAGGATGAGGTTTGAGAAATTGGCAGATGTTGAAGTGTTGCCTAACATTATGAAGAAGGTTGAAAAAACAAATTCATACACAAACATGTGGCTTATCAGATAAATTGCTTTAAACAAATTTCTTTAAAGTGTATATATTTGAAGTGTATTTATATTTGGAATATATATTTATATGTTAGGATGTCTGATGAGCATATATTTGAAGTGAGGCATCTGGAAAATTCAGCCGAAAAATTCACAGTCAACCTCAAGGAAAAGTACTGTTCATGCAGAAGATGGGAACTAACAAGCCTGCCTTGTGTTCATTCACTTGCAGCAATCAAAAGTAGGAACCACAAGATTGATGACTACATTCCCGATTACTACAAGAAAGCAAGATATATGCAAGTGTACAAACCTGTAATATATCCTGTTAATGGCTCAAACTTGTGGATGAGAACAGAGTATCCTGATATTCTGCCCCCAAATTTAGGAAAATGTTTGGAAGGCCAAAAAAAGGAGGAATTTAGAGCAAGGTGAGATAGATGGTTCTGATAAAAAGATGAGAAAGACATGATTCATTATAAAGTGTAGCAGGTGTAAGAAAGAATGACACAACAAGCTTACTTGCAAGGTACGATCTACTAGTCAAGCATCTCAGCCAGCTCAAACATCTCAGTCAGCTCAAGCATCTCAACCAGCTCAAGCATCTCAGCCAGCACAAGCATCTCATCCAGCTCAAGCATCCCAGCCAGCACAAGCATCTCAGCCAGCACAAGCATCTCAGTCAACTCAAGCATCCCATCCAGCTTAAGCATCTCAGTCAACTGCTTTTCAATCATCTAAGAAAGTGAATCCCAAATCCAAAAAGTTGCAAGTTAGAAGGCCAAATGCACCTTTTGTCCCACCTGGTCCAACAACTAGGTTGAATGCATCTAAAATTGTTGTAGATCCAACAACAAGAAGGACAACACCTATTAAGAGAGCCACAACAAAATGGAAAGCTTAGATTAATGTCTTTACTGTAATAGTTCTGTTAGGTTATGTTAACTTTAGTTAAGCTATTTTAAAGTGTTTTGAACCTGTACTGTCTAGTGTTGTTTTGGACCTGTCATATCAGGTTTCTTGGACATGTAAAGTATGGTTTTTGGATATGTAATAGTAGTGTTTTTGAACCTGTAATATCAGGTTTTTTGAACATGAAAATTATGAATATTAGTGGTATCCACCACCTTATGTATTGTTGTTGACTTCATTCAGTTGATTTTATAAGTTATGCTATGATTTTATTCAAATTTTTACACTAGTTACTGGAATTTACAAAATTCATCAAGAATACAGTTCCAAAATTACACCAGTTTCATACAGTTCCAAAATTCATACAGTTGCATACTGGAATTTACACCAGTTCCAAAATTCATTACAAAATGTTACAAATAAAACATATAAATTCATCAATTAACAACATCATCTTCTTTTCAAATGATATTACAAACAATACTGAAATTTAATTAACAACAACATCTTCTTTTCAAATGATATTACAAATAATACTGGAATTTACAACACCACCTAAATGACAAAAATTAACAACATACAAAACATTCTTTTCTATTTTTTTCGGAATTCATCATTTTCTTCATTTCAATTTATAACCCCCTTATCTTTTGTTTCAGTCCATCCTTTTGTTCCTTTAAAGACGGCATCTCTATTTTTACTGCATCAATGTCATTTTGAAGCTTCTCCGACCTACTATTTTGCTTCATTATAAACTGCTCTTTCTCATCCACAACATCATCATAGAATCATTGAAAGTATCCACATCCAGTTTCAGATTTTCAGATGAATCTAGTGTCATTCCAAATTTGGATAGATCAGAAAAAATAATATGAATAAGCTGTTTAATTTCTTTCTTACCTTATAATGACGACAACCCCAGAATTGTTTCCCGAAATTCATGTGAGTTGAAGCCCTTCGAAGAACAGTTGTGCCTCCACAGCCGCATATGGGTTTCCATCGCAAATTTTTGTCTAAACATCCACCGTTGTTGACCTTCGAATCGTATGAACACTGACTTGAATACGCTAATGATGATGACTTCATTTTCCTCAAACAATTACAGAATCATAAGGGGAAGAAAATTGTTGAACCCTAGAATTTGGGGGTGTCTGGGGTAGAAGAGAAAGAAATGGGCGATGCAGGTTTGAAGAGAACGAAGAAGATGACATAACATTCCACATCAACTGTCACGCATACAAAACAAACGTTTGTGCCTTTTGGATGAAAAAGACTACCGTGATCCTTTTTGAACAATTAAAAGACCACTTTAGAATTTTTTAAAAATAAGAGACCAGAATGGACCCAGAGATAAAGTTAAAGGACTAAAAAAAAAATATTTTACCTTAAGAATAATTAATTGAGAATGATTAATTAAAAATGATTATCTTTTCATACATAACGCTGTAACTGCTTAAAACACTATAACAACACAACGCCATGACTATCTTTTCATCTTCTTTTTTTTTTTTTGTCAAATACTCAATATTCCTGCTAGGCTAATATTCCTACACATCTATCAACCGAGTTGATTTTGTTTTAAAAAAATAATAGGAAATCTGAACTGGTCTTGCTATAATAATTAATTTTTACTAATACAGGTTTTAGAAACTAAGCTGAACCATAAAAATGTGTGTAGGACAACCGTGCACATGGCTATAAAGATCAGAGTCATAAAGAGGCAGACAACTTGTATATAATGGGAAAAAAGACAGTCAAAATCTAAATTCAGCTATGATCATTCTATCCGCAACTCATGCTTTGCTTTGATGTCAAGCACAGACAAAAGTTAAGTTCGCCATTATAAAACATATCTAACCAGTTCTATCTTCCCTTCCTCCATAGTTTATTATATATATAAAAGTTGAAAAATTTAAACTAGTCGTCCTCATGTAACCAAACACAAACTGCAGCCAACAGTAGTTTCATAATAATAACCAAAAAAAGATTAAAAGTAAGTGGTGAGAGACAACTAGCACAAACTACTTAAACAAGTAGGAAACTAATAAGGAGCAGTACCAATTAAAGCAAACAATAAAATAGACCAACAAAAACTAAAGATATCCTGATGGAAACATAATTCACATCAAAACTAATCTGCCCTGTCCCTTTTCTTTTTTATATATTTTTCCAATTTGGGTTAGGGTTGATTGGTCCTCACTTGGCCATCATAACTTTGACAAACTCCTCATAGTTGATCTGCCCATCACCGTCAACATCAGCCTCGCGAATCATCTCATCAACTTCCTCGTCTGTGAGCTTCTCGCCAAGATTTGTCATAACATGGCGGAGCTCAGCCGCAGAAATAAAACCATTTTGATCCTTATCAAAGACGCGGAAGGCTTCCTTGAGTTCCTCCTCTGAATCAGTGTCTTTCATCTTGCGGGCCATAAGGTTGAGGAATTCAGGGAAATCAATGGTACCATTGCCATCGGCATCAACTTCATTTATCATGTCTTGCAGCTCTGCCTCAGTTGGATTTTGCCCAAGAGACCGCATTACAGTCCCGAGTTCCTTGGTTGTAATACAACCTATAACATGTCACAAAATAGTTTAACACATGTCTGATTCAGACTCACAAGATAACCAAAAAATATATCATAACCCATCCTCAAATTCAGACTCACAAGATAACCAAAGAATATATCATACCCAATCCTCAAAATTCAAATGAACAAATGGAGAAAGTAGATTTCCCCAATTTAAGACTAGGGAGATCAAAGTTATAACAGTTATAACAGCTAGCCCTAAATCCTAGGTTTCAGCCAGAGATATACAAGACTTGGTAGAACAATCTAAATTGGCATTCCATTCTCCTATATGACAATTGGAAATCTCCACATGAATACATAAAAATACATGAATTAAACAATTCCAGTAAAAACAGCGATCAACATAGAAAAGTCAATCATGGAAGAAACCCTAGATCACCAATAAACTTTAAAAAAATAAACCATTCTGCCCAATATAAAACAAGACGGTAACAGTAACAAACTGTAAACATGCAAAAACTGGAAAACTATATAAATAACCAGATCTAAGAAATCAAGAAAAAGATCTGAGAAAAAGACCATCGCCGTCCTTGTCGAATAGGCTGAAAGCCTCCTTGAACTCGGCGATCTGATCATCGGTGAGCTGGTCGGCCATTGGAGCTGCAAAAGAATGAGAAAAAGAGAAATGAAACGGAGAAAACAAAATGTAGAAAGTAAGAGAGGAGGAGGTATGACACATATATATACACACACCCTGTACGCGACCCTGTGCTCCGATTCTTTAAAAATATTAATCAAATTTTCGGATACGAGAGACTCAGCTGAAAATAATTGCTTATTATAAAACATAAAAATCATTATATCTTTACAATTAAATTTTTCATTCAATCAAATTAATAATCGATTTCTATACTCACTTTGAATTATAATTCATCATCAAAATTCAATTCACATTATATATTTTAAAACAAAATATTTAATAGCTTTCTACAACACTAATATACAAATATTTTTAGTAATTCATAGGTGAGTTAAGGGTATCTTCCTCCAGAGTTCAAGTCTTCACATCAATATTTGTTTATATTTTCTTTCAAAAATATAAATAAATATTTGAGATTTATAAATCAATAATTTTTAATAAATATATAAATATTTTTATAAATAATATTTTGTTATTTAATAGTTACTAAATAAAAATATACTTCCAGTATATCTAAAAATCAAAATTAATATATATATATTTGTTATTTAATAGTTACTAAATAAAAATATACTTGCAGTATATCTAAAAATCAAAATTAATATATATATATATATATATATATATATATATATATATATATATATATATATATATATATATATATATATATATATATATATATATATATATATATATATATATATATATATATATATATATATATATATATATATATATATATATATATATATATATATATATATATATATATATATATATATATATATATATATATATATATATATATATATATATATATATATATATATATATATATATATATATATATATATATATATATATATATATATAATTGAGTATCATATAATTATTTTAAAATTATTGTTTTTGAATAGTATGATAATACTAGTTACATATTATAAAAAATTCCACCCATAAAATTATTTTCAATCGATTATCATTATTTTCAAAAGACAACAAATCTAATATTTTCTTTCTCAAAATATGATCAAAATTAAATTTTAATAAAAATTGTATAAATTACAAATATATAAGACCATATAGAATGTGAAATCAATCTATATACTTTTTTGTATAAAAATTAATAATTTAATTTTATGATAATCAAAATTGTATATATTTAGATTTTTTTATAAAAAACAATTAATATAATTATATATTAATCATTAATAATATTTTTTTTTGAAAATAAAAAACAATTCAATACACAAACGCGATCAATAGAATCCAGCAATCCAGCAAAAGAGATTAAACTCAAATCAACTAACAACACCTAAAACAACGTGAGCTTTGCTATATTATCTCTATATTTGAGATATACCCACAATCTATTAACAATATTATCTAATTAATGATAATATTTAATAATATTAATATTAACTGTTGCATTTTTTTATAAGCAATTTACACCTAATAAAAATTATATTTGAGATTTAAAAAAAAGCAGACTCCGAAGAGTTTAGCCTTCACCACTAGACTACATACATACACATTTTTTAGAAGAGCATATTAGTTGTTGCCTTTAAAAATAATTATAATTAGAAGATTTTTTTTCTTCTGTAAATCATATTTTTTATTTAATAATTATATGCGATCTATGAACATTTATGTGATATACTATTAATAATATGTGATTTAATATATAATTATATTAATATTTTAATTCATTCATAATTATATTAATTGTTATTTTTAAAATATATTAAAAATATATATTTATAATTATATTAAAGTAAATATATTTTGGATTAATATAAAATTAATTTTAAATTTTGGATAGTAAGATAATAACTATTTATATATTAATTACTAATAAAAATATATTATCAATAAAATAATTTCAACCGGTTAAATCTATTACAAATAAAAAAGAACTATAGAAAGAAAAATTAATTTAGTTCATTAATTAAAATAAAAATAAATCATTATTTTGAGTTATGCTATTTACTTTTAGAATATATGTAATATAAAAATAAATAAATTAGCAAGTAAATGATATACAAATATTTATAAAAAATGTTTGATGTGTTTCAGAAAATATTTTTATTTATAAAACATTTAGTTGTAGTAAATTTTTAGTTTTATAGAAGTTTTTAATTAAAATTTAAATTTAAATATAAATATTATTTTTAATAATATTTTTTTATGTGAAAGTAGTAAAATTACGTAGTAATAACAAATATAATGTCATTGACATGTTTTTAAAGATCATATAATTATATATTATAAATTGTATATTTGAAATTATATATTTAAAAATTTTATCAAATAATGTTAATATTGAAGTTTACGTTAATATTGTAGTTAATTGTAACTAAATAAATATTACTTTTGAATGTGATATGGATTTGGCCGCAGAATTTATTTTACCAACATGTAAAAAGCATCTTATAAATGGATGAAAAGACAATAATATAGTAATTGTTTAGAAGACCATAATTTAAATAAACGAAAATAAAACTATTTAAAATTAAGATTTATGTATAAATTTTAGAATATGACATATTTAAGAATAGAGTACTAATAATAATAATATTTTGAGAGCTTAAAAAATAAACATTAAAAAGAAACCACAATAAAAAGAAAAAAACAGAAACTTATAGTGAGACACCGTTTCAGTACCAATGAAAACTGAAATCATGGATTAATGTGTTATATGATAAAAAAACTGCAAAAATATAATTTAGAAAGATTTAATTCAGAATCGTTATAGAAGAAGTCGATCGAATAATACTATTTAATCAAATTTTTGGACCTTTTTCTTTTCCAATTTTGCAATAGTATCAACATTGAAGGTTCATTATAAAAAGATATTGTGCAAAAAATATATAAATTTCATAAAATGTATTATACGAAAAATCGAAATGATAAGAACAACATATAAAAATGTAAAAACATATTTAATAAAATACAATAGTCATTATCATAAATAACATTGACATTCAAATTAAATTTACAATGTATAATAAAATATAAATAAGAAGTAGATATTTTGTTTGCACTTGCATAGAAATCCAAACTTTTCTTTTTTTAATGGAAAACAAACTTTCAATTAAGAAAAAGGATAATTTCCAATTTAAGTTTTTGAACTGTTGGTGCAAGGTAATGAAATGGGAGAAGAAGAATGAACAATGAATGATAACAAAGATGAATACTTCTGTATATTCAAATAGAGGAATGAATTGAGTTACAATATTGATAGCTTAGGTAGCATATTTATACTAAAATTAAAAATGCCAAAAAACCCTAATAAAGAATAAGCATTGGGAATTGTAGTCATTAACTAAATTACAGTTTCAATACCATCCCTTAATTTAGATATTTCATCGGAAACTAACAACACCAATTTCATCTCTCAAATGAAGAAATTGATCTGTTTTAACTGCCTTCGTCAGAAGATCTGCAAGCTGTTTCTGAGTACTACAATGCAGAACTTCTAACACTCCTTTCTGAACTTGACTTCTGAGAAAGTGATACTTCGTCTCAATGTGCTTGCTTCTTCCATGTAGCACTGGATTCTTGACAAGATCAATTGCAGACTTATTATCAATCATCAGCTTCAGAGGTTCCTCAACTTCAACCTTCAGATCATGCAGGAGATTCAGAAGCCAAACAGCTTGACAAGCAGCTACAGCACCTGCGATATACTCAGCTTCACATGTTAACAGAGCCACGACAGGTTGTTTCTTGGAACTCCAGGAAATGGGACCTCCCGAAAATTTAAACAAGTATTCAGAGGTACTTCTCCTGTCCACTCTGTCTCCACACCAGTCAGAATCAGAATAACTTACTAATTCTGATTCTGTCTTTCTTTCAGAAGGAAACAACACTCCATATCTCAGAGTTCTCTTAATATATCTCAGAATTCTGACAGCAGCTTGGAAATGAGATCACTTGGGATTACTCATGAATCTGCTGACCAATCCAACTGCATAACAAATGTCAGGTATAGTATTACATAAATACCTTAGAGATCCAAACAGCTATTTGAAGGTTGTAGAATCAACAAAATCACCATCAGAGTCAGAATCCACTTTTTGATTGGTTTCTGATGGTGTCACAACAACTTTGCAATTCTGCAGCTTAAATCTCTTCAGAAGTTCTTGTTCATATTTTAACTGGTGCAGAATGATACCTTTCTTTGAGTATAAAATCTCCATCCCTAGGAAATATGTCACTTTTCCTAGATCTGTCATCTCGAACTCATTCATCAGAACTTCCTTGAACTTCTTTATATCTTCTGGGCAGCTACCTGTTAGCAAGATGTCATCAACATAGAGACACACCAGAATCATATTGCTATCAGAGTGTTGTACATAAACTCCATATTCCATCTCACACTTCTGAAACCTCTGCTTCTTGAAAAATGAATCAATTTTCAGATTCCAAGCTCTAGGCGCTTGCTTCAGTCCATACAGAGCTTTATTTAACATGTATACCATCCCTTCCTGATTCTTTTTCACAAATCCAGGAGGTTGTGACACGTAAACTTCTTCCTGTAATGGACCGTTCAGAAATGCTGACTTCACATCCAGATGCATTAAAGGCCAATTTCTATTTGCAGCTAAAGCAATCACTAGTTTGATTGTTTCATGCCTAGCTACAGGCGCAAACACCTCAAATTAATCTAGCCTAGGTTTCTGAAGAAAACCTCTAGCTATTAGTCTAGCTTTGTGCTTGCCAATTGAACCATCTGGATTAAGTTTCAACTTAAAAACCCATCTGACGCTGATGGCTTTTTTCTTATCTGGAAGTTTAGTCAATTTCCAAGTTTTGTTCCTTTCTATTGCCTCAAGTTATTCTTTCATGGCATTAAGCCATTCTTCCTTCTTGCGAGCTTCTTTAATGCCCACTGGTTCAGAATCTACTAACATGGCACACTGAACGACTTCTCCTTCAGAGTCAACATC